ATACGACTGACGAACAATAGTCCATGTCGTATATAAAAAAAAATAAGAATGGAAATTACTAAAGAAAATTATTTATTTTTTAAATACTTGTAAGATATTTATTATATAATTTTTATTAACAATAAACAGTCCTTCTATCTATCTCTTAACCACATCATTAAGATTCTATCGGAGGCTGCAGAGATACATCACGGTCATTTAACTTCATTAAATATTCCAAAACATAGATCTTGAGGCTATAGACGTATTGGCCATTTAGAAGGAACTAGATAGGAATTTAGTTGAATGATTTGATATAATAAGTATGATTTTATTAATAAATACTGTTTTCTCTTGTAAAATTCATAGCAAACTAAACACAGCCTTTTAACCGTCTGGTAAGCCTGGAATCGTAATTCAACTTAAGGGTATATCGAAGCCGATCCGGTTGTCACAAGACAAGCTGGGAAGTAATATAAGCAAAAGGGGAGAGGATATGAATTACCGCCTACATAAGTTGAGGAGGAGTTATTAGAGACTGGAGTAATAAGATGTTGGAACAATGGATGGCTGGAGCGGGCTCGCTCCAGGAAAAGGGTATTCCTCCGCACGAGTCCTCATAATTTACTACATTTTACACTGGGATCGCTTCCCATATTCTGCTCCAGCAATCACTGTCAATAATCCCAGTCTCCTTTTCACCTGCCCCCTCCAACATAGTACGCTTCGCTGAGGATCAACCTATCTCTTTACCATGCTTGATTATCCAGCTAACTTATAGCTCACATGGGGCGTTTGCAGTCAGTGGGTCGCCGATTTCAACTATTTTTTTTCGATGAATTTACATCGAAAAAAATAGACATATAAGCTATTCAGTTGATATAATGACTAACTCCAATATGCTACACGAAATAGTACAAGACCTCCATTAAAAAATTAGAACCGAGAAAATGAAATAAATATTCAGAAGTTTTTCTCAATTTCTAGCTTGAAAAGTAATGCACACATTTCTAACGGTTACGATAACGTTGAATTTTCAGAAAATCCTGAAAGGTTATGAATGGTGTAGTTATTGGATAAAAAAAAAAAGATTCCTCTAACAAAATCTAGTAATAAATTTGGGAATTTTCTATTACTAGAAAAAAAAGGATATTTAAGAGATTTAAAAAACACTAAAGAAATATCTAACTTGCTTGTTCGTAATAGAAATTTGCTTTGACTACTATACTAGAAGCATCTTTTAGATTTTGTATATTATACTAGCTTTACCCGGCCACGCGCTGCTGTGGCTTAGCCTGGCAAAATGAAAAAGAAAGAAAATAGAAAGCACATATGAGTAGATTAATAGCAAAGGACATCTGTAATTTTAAAAAGTTGGGAAACAAATTTGCCTATATAATGGCTTCAAATTAAACGAATTCTAATGATTTTTTTTTTTATCATGATTCAAATTGGACATTCATAATCTGAGTGCGGATTCATTCATAATCATCAGAAACAGTCTGAGTTGAACTTATCAAACTAAAATAAAAAATTAATATAAAGAACGTATAATAGTATTGACCTACATAAGGAGAATCATATAACTTCTTCAAATGATAATTTCAATTATTGTAGTAATTATAAAATGTTCGATTAATCAATAAAAAAAAAAAAATGCTTTTCTACTTTCGGTAGTGAGGAAGCAAAAGGAAATGGCCTTTTCTGAAGAGAAAGCAGTCAACGTTTAAAACGCTATAACTCTGCAATGAACAGGTCCGATTTCGATATATTTTTTTTATTTTGTCGGCAATTCAGAAATCTTTCATATAAATATGGGTATTATCAGTCGAAAATTCAGTACATTTTTAGTTATCGTCAAATAAAATATTGAATTAATCGTAACATTTTTCAGCTTGTTTTCGGGAAAGTATGTTATACACATAAATTTGGGGAAGACTTTAGCCAAGTTTCGTTAAAATCGGTAAAGCCGTTTTGGCGCTACAGTTTATAGCGACACATTTTTTTGTGGCTTTTAACTGAAAAACATTTACATTTTTATTTTTTTTTGCATATATAAAATTATCGTAAGACAGAAGTACTATGCCAGAAACCTTCCCAGGAATGTACGGAACAACTTCTCAAAGTTTCATGGCGATCGAATGAATGGTTTAGTAATGCACAAAGGACAAACAGACAGACAGACATACATTAATTTTTATATATATATATAAATTACATTTTAATTCATTTAATACAATAGAAAATATTTATTTTTTACCGTGAAAAAAAAAATGAAATCGATCGACTTATAATAACCTAAAAATCCGGGTATTAAAATGTGGCCAATATTTTTCGATTTAGCATCATCTCAAAAAAATTGGTTGAAATCAGTGATCCCAATTTACAACCTTACAAACTTCTCTTTTCAGTTTAATAAATAAGGAGGACTTTGTCAAATGGGTAAGTTCGTACAATTTCGTTTATTTAAAGCATCTGAATTTTTCTGGCAGTGGTTGATCCATTGAAAGGGCAAAGGAGGAATATTTTCCTAAAATAGCAATTGAGAAAAAAAAAACTCCTTTAAAATATGCCTAATAGTACCAGCCTTAATCGTGAATAAATTTTTATTATTGGCATGATTTAAATAGTTTAGAAGGCTTTTCACAAGAATTCATAACTTCCTTACGCAACTTTAAATGTCATTTAGGCTTAAGCTGATTGGGCATAACGTTATTTTTCACTAAGATAAAAAGACAAAAAATCTCAAAGATAAGTAGATAACATTTTTTTTTCGATTTTCTGAAATAAAAAACAAAAATAAATTATGAAATAGAGAATTTTATATAAACTTATGAATGAAAAAAATATATATGAATGTTATTGGAGTTTCTACACTTTGAGAAAGGGGTGGCATATGAGAATGTACCCTGAACCATTTAAATCTTTCACCAATGTTTTCCTTCTTCGTAAATTTACACGCTTAAAAACAATTTCTAATAGTAATATCGCTGACATTTTGTCACCGAAGTTCATGGCTGAAAATTAGGTGATTTTAAGCTCTTCCCCGCCGTCAAATCTGTTAAGTAGGGACATCACAACTTCCTTCCTGTAAAAGGTCTTAAATGTTTTAGTTATGGCGCTTGAGAGGATGCGGCTTAGAAGTAGTGTTGGCAGGCAAAAACACATTAACATGGAGAGACGAAGTACAAACTGTTGTGGGCCGTACTATTATAGATATCAAGTTAATTTTTTCGCATTAAGATTGTTTAGACTTCACAGATATTTTGCAAGATTAAACTGAAGCATAACACCACATTCGGCGAATAGAGTACATTGGAATTGAAACGAAAAAGGAAAACAAACAGAAATTCATAGAAATCGCAATCTTTCACTCACTCTTCTCCCCTTCTTTTAAAAAGATTAAGATTCATACCGATTTTTACTGCAGGACATTTAAAATACTCCGAAGACGAAAATGGATGCTTATTTTCGAGGAGACTAAATTACATTGTTTTTACATTTGAATCAGAGAGAGAATTTCACCATTTCATAAAATCATTTCACGGATGTATAAAGCATATTTTTATAAGCTTAAATACATTTTATATAGTTTAATAATTCTAGATCTGATTTTATGTTTAAATAATTAGGTATCAACGTCCGTTTATTCCGAAACGTGTCCGTTTATGTCCGAAACATTTGTACCTTTTCAGAAAATGAAATTAGTGAATAATTTGATGAATCTTTCCTTTGTGATATTCAAACAGTACTATTTCATTTTACTTGTGTGAAAGAAGAAGTGAAATATAAAAATATTTCATAGATACATTTATAACCTTAAATATATTAACTGTGGTTTAATTGCTCTAGATCTGATATTATATTTAAAAATTTAAGTATATATCGTCCGTTTATTCCGAAAGATCATCATGTAGCCGTTCAAAAAATTAAATTATTGAAAAGCTTGATGAAATTTCTTTTTGTGATATTCCAACAGTATCCACTTACAATTACTGTGACAACTTTTGATCTGTCTATGACAGACAATGTAAATCACTTAATTCCGTTTTAGCAAACTTTGCAATGGAAAATAATTGTTTAATAACTAATAGTCGTACAATCCATAATCAATGGATCCTGCAATCCATAACCAACCCGTGATGTAATAAATAGGACTTTTGTTATTTTAATGGTATTTATGATTTGTTAGCTGTAAACTTTTAGTTTTAGCTCGGTTAAAAATGCAATTCAAAAATTTTATAATAGTCCAAAATGGCCATAAGATGATTTCTATTTAAAGTTGAATGGTAAATGAAAATTGTGTGCTGCGCCCACCAGATTTTTGTTGTTGCTTGAAAATATTTAAACTGAAAATCTTAATTAAAATAAAACAAAACTAAACTTTTTTATTAAAATAGATTAATAAACGCTGTGCTAACAGTATTTAACAATTATAATTCTTATGGCCGGTTTATGATTCAATATTTAGTTTCGTCTTGTATTTAATCGCATTTGATCTACTACAAGAAATAACTAATTTATAAATATGGAGATAAAAGGCCGTTTAATCTAGAAATTCACTAGTATCGGATTGATTTATATATTACTGAGTTTATTACGTTTATTCTTAAAGTGACCTTGTGACTGTTGTTTAGTTATTCGAAATATTTTTTTATATCTTATTAATAATATTTACTATTTCAAATTGCAATTTTTTTCAATCACATTTTTAGTCACCTTTCTAGATCACCCTAGTATTTGCACCTGAATCTTTCCAAGCACTTCACCAACGCACCTGCACATTCAACCAGTCTGTTGTTATGGTAACTAAATATTCATGTTCACCACCAATTGTTATATTATATTATAATGATATTTAAATACACCAGGTGGCCTGGATCAAGGCGGATACGAAAGCTATTTTGGCGATTCACGAACATGTAATAACCAACAACGCCCGCTTGTCCGTGACACACAACGATGACAATACATGGACACTCAACATGCGCGGGGTGAAGAGGGAAGACAGGGGCACATACATGTGCCAAGTCAACACGGACCCTATGAAGAGCCAGGTAACCTATTATATAATTAATATCAATTATTATAATTGTTGGTAATGTTTATATTATAGTCTAATTTAAATTATAATAATTTAGAAAAAAATATTAAAGTAGAAAAACCATATAGGGCAAAGGCACCTATTATTGACATGTTACCAATTATTGGCACCTGTAACTTAAATTTGATAAGATAAGTGTTTAGGTTCATGTATGATTTCAAAATTGATGCCCTTTCAAAGGCACATTACTCAGCCTTATATTATTATTTTATATATTTATTTTATCTTTTCATCAAAATGGTCTCCTGGAGAAGTTCAAGTCATTAAAACGAATTAAAATCATTTTCATGTTTCAAACTGTGTATATTTAATTTTCCCAGTTTATTCATTTTGAAATCACGAAGAAAACATTTCTGTTTAATATTACTTTTAAATATTTTTTTTTTTTTTTTGTTTTTCAACCAATCAAATTATTCATAATATAAATATAGAAATCATTACTGCGACAAAGCGAAATGAAATATATCACGGTTATTGCAATGTATATCTTTAGTTTATTACAAAAAGTAAGTAAAAACAAGTAACATTATATAAATTAATATTAAGATTAGATAAAATTATATTATGTTAAATTAAATCACTAATTGTAAGTAGAGATAATTTGATGAATTTTCTCTCTCTGAAGTCAGAATATCTGGTTATGGGTTGATGTTACTTTAATGTAACTAATGAATATTTGCTCGGTACCATCGGTACCAACTCCTAACTTGAAATAATAAAGTTAATCCATAAGATCGCTTAACTATCTCCTTTTCATCCTTCGTCAGGCATTTTCTAATTTTAAATTTCAAGAAACAAAACGATCGAAATATTTTAATATTTGTGTTCCTGAAAAAAAAATGCAGCAAAAAAAAAAATAAAAAATCTTAAAATTATAAAAAATATATTTTCTTTTACCAACCAAGGGTCTAATAATTTTCGTTCTAACTTCACCACAAGATATTCATTGAAATCGATTATTAAACCTCCGTAACCTCATCTTGTTACTATGATAAAATTAATTTTTTTAACAAAACAATATTTATTTGAAAGCTTCCATATTTTCCTAAGCCATTAACTCTGACTGTAGTTTAATCATAATCATGAAACCTTGCATTGCTTCCTTACGTTAAATTCCATTCATTAGTAAGATATAGTTACTTTTTAATGAAAACAATTGAATCACAAGGAATATATTAATTAATGACAACGTAATGTTCTACCTAACTAGTAGTCACAGGATAGCAACTGTATAATTTATCGAGCCGCACAATAACAATCTGGTGTCGAATGCCGGTGAATTACTGAGTCCAAGTTAGGTCGGAGCTATTTGAGAGAATAAAGCATTGATTGGTCAATTTATTCAATGACTACGCTCTTCGCTAAACGCTCACCAAAAAGCTAATTAATTCTGAATTATTTATTCAACACCTCTGACAATATATACAATTAACATCTCTATAATATTTAATTTAGATTAAGAATCTGCTATCAAGTATATATGTTATACAGTGTTAACAAAGTTATTTATTTAGCATAAATACATAACGTTATTTGCATAAACTGACAATGCTTAAGTTATTATAATGGACGTTTATTCTATATATATTAATGGTGATTCATAACTAAACATTTAAGATTCATTGAATATGTTTAATATGGTTGTTATTTATCGATAAGTTAAATTAAAGTATATTTCTAGTACATTGTACATTTCTAAATAAAGGCGTAATTTACGTGTTAAAAATAAAACCTGTTTAAATAGCTGAAATAGAGTACATATTTTTTACCTGGCATGTTTTCCGAAATGAATAATGAATTCTTTTGAATTTATTTTGCATTCAATTATTTGGGCTTCTGATGTTTAAATAATGAACAAACTTTAGGTTATTGACTGGCGTTATTTTCGGATGTAGATTTTTCGTCTCTGAGATATTTTAATCCATATCTTCTATAGAACATGTTATCATTTGGTTTTCGACACTATGTTTTTATAATCGCCTTCCTGACACGGCTTGATGGATGTTGAGTGATACTCAATGAACAAAAAAGAAAAAAAAATTGTGTCTCTTTATTAAAATTTACAACTGAATTAATGAAGATACCAACTTTTTTTATTTATTGAGAATAAATACATTTTGCCTCAATCAAGGGCATTGAGTATTTGTTATGTGAGAAACACATTCATGCAATATCCACAATTACAAAAATAATAGAAGTTATATCAAAAACAAGAAAAAGAAAGCTTAGTAAAACAGATGAAATAAAATATGATGCAATACAAATTTTAAAAAAAATTAATAAATAAGAAAAAAAAACATTCATGCATATTTACAATATTTACAGTCAGCCGAGGGAGCTCCAAGTCGGGCCCTTCCCCCCACCTGTGGAAGATAAGGCAGGACTCTAAGAGATCCCAGTGCTGCTCTCTCAGACGCATTACTGAGATAGAAAATACAACTAGAAAATGTTAACATAACAAGAGTAATGACATGAACATACTTTATACACCACATATTCGTAGATCTCGCAATGTAGTTCTAACCTAGAAGATCAAGAGGCTAACCTTTTTTTAAGAAGCTGGGATGGATTATCAAAAATGGTTGAAGAAGGAAGGGTGGAAACAAGTGGGTTTCCGTAAAATTTGGAAAATTGAAATCATTATGAATAATTTTATTTTTGCAAAATATGTAATATTATATTCTAAGTAAAAGTGTTTAGGATTTTACGAAGGATTTCAGATTGTATAAGAGAGGAATTCGATTGTTTGGTGGAGACCCGAACTCAATAAGTCAGTAAATTTTTCCCACCTGAAGGTTAAGCAAATCTTCAAAATAATGGCTTAATCTAGAAATTTGATGAAGAATTATCAAAGATATGGCGTACCGACAAAAGTAGACACTTGATAAAGAACAACAACCCTCATTTCGATCACAGAAACCTCAGATCGACGACATGAGACAAATATTCCATCGCAGCACTACTATTAACGTGAGGTTTTGTCTTGAAAATTTGGTAAAATCTGTTTACTTATATGGATTCCTAGTCACATGGGAATAGTCGGAGATGAACTTTCAGATGTGGCAGCCAAACAAGCCCTCGCGCTTCTAGGCCGGGGTACTGCTATCCTATCACCTCTATAAATGATTCTGCCTCTCAGAAAGGAAATGTCAGACAGCTGGCAGCTTATGTGGAATGAGAGTCCACCAAGCAACTTGAAAGTTATTAAAAATTAAGTAAGGCCCTGGGCCACATCAAACCTTTCTAATCGCAGGGAAGAAGTCGCCTTTACTAGGTTGAGAATAGGTCATACAAATTTGACTCATTTATACCTTGTCAACAAACAACCACGCCCCATATAAAAATATTGCAATAGCCCTCTCATTGTCCACCATATTTTTCAGGAATACCCCTATTACACCGAAAGCTTAAATAGATTATCTCTTATACCGGATATTTCAGCTATATTAAATAATGAAGAATAAAATATAAAAACAGTTGTGATTATTTCAGGACAGATGTTAATCAAATATTCTTACGGAAGTGTGAAAACGTATTATAAGGCTGTATGGGGGTTATCCCGGACCAGTGGGGGACGGCGGGGGAATGCCATGTTAAAAGACCCCCTTGTCACCGGGACATGAACTCACAATTATTTAATCGTTTATAACTTCGGCTATCTGGTTGCCAGGCTGTGCAGTGCTGTGCACACACGCGTTATCCCGATTGGCCATTCCACTTTAGCTGATTGTATATATCAACTATATTTAATTTAGAACGTAAGGTTGTGTGGATGCGAACCCTATGCTTTGCGTTATCTCAAAAATAGTACCGATATTTCCGGAGGAACTTTCCGAGTATTGCTGTACGTATCAAAATCTTTAAGATCCAGTTTCTCCCGTATCGATCTACAGACCTACCACGGTTCTAGTATTGAAGCCTAGCAAGATGTTTGTATCGACTTTATTTAATTTAGAAAGAAAAAAAAAAGCGGAGAGTTTCTATCTGCTCACCCCACGTGAAATTCTTAGTTACTCTTCCCATTCATGGCATTCGAACCTGACAGGAGCTTATATTTGGTACATAATTGATTTCAAGACTCAATGTAATAATATAAGTGGAGATTCTCCATATTTTATTCCATATTTTCATAAACATTGGTTTATGCTGGTTGAAATATTTGGGGTGCAACTAAAGCATAATTATTTACAGATAGGAAACACGTTTCATCTCCGTAAATACTGTTGTTTTAATATCCACTTTGAAGAAATTAGGATAGAATAACATATATGATAGGAGAACAGATCACACATTTCTTTGAAAATAATCTCATGCTGGTTACGGGAAAAAACAACTTGTAGCCAAAAAAGGCAAAGGAGGAAAGAAAAGAAATAAAAAAAATATATTTTCTCGAAATGTTAAAAGAGCAAGTTGAAAATCATGGATCTCTTTCCTAACCAACAAGAAGAGATTTAAAAAAATTAAATTAAATATAAATATAACAGAGAAATATCCGTAAAGTTAAAGAGCGCGTATGAAATAGCCTCTTGAGGATGGAAAGGATTTTAATCCAGTTTGGAGAGGGCAGCTTAGTAATTAGGTGTAGTTAAGTGGCTGAAGAAACAATTATAAGGGGAAGGCAAACAGAGTGCCCCTAACAATAGCAGCATCTTCCCCTCATCCTCTCCGGGGCCCGACAGTTTACAGAGAAAAGTAAGCCCGCCTCCGCCTTCTTTTCAGGAAAATGAGGCCTTGTAAAATTAATTTGACGAGGTGGGGGGGGGGGGCGCTCGACTAACAATCCTCTTCGTCACGACTTTGTGAATAATTCAGAGAGAGTTTAGCCCGGTTTGATTGAAGGCTAGAGGAAGAAGGCCATTAATAACCGATCCTAGCGTTGGAATTAGCCGATGCCTCTTGTTACCCTCCCCCCTCTCCTATGAATATTTAACATGGCAGGTTCCTTTACAATCC